GTCATTTGGAAACACTAGATGGAGCTACTCACCTCAAGTTAATTTGCACTTCAGTGAACTGAAAATATCCTCATGTGACAGAGATATTAGTAAATCTGAATTTCAGCATTAAGGTATCCCCTCATTGTGAAGCAAGTAAATAAGTACATTGAGATTAACACCACTTTAGACACTTAGAGCGCACATTTGTCCAATAATCTGTTTTTCCACTAAATCCATGTGGCGACATTGCAAATGCTACACGTGAACCATTGGCTTTTGCATGTGATCCTTCTTATGCAATAATCTCCAGGATGTGACAATAGAAATAGAATTAAAGGTTACTGTGGAAAAATAATAATCAAGGGAAAAGGTTTTTAGGTAAACTGTTTAACTGTGACATAAATGATAGTTTACATAGTATAGTAAACAGTATATTTCAGACTTTTTTCTGATGTAATTACCTGCAGACTTCATAGACTAACTATATGTCCATTAAAATGGTTATTGGTCACTGTAGTTCTTTTTCATGTCCATATAGGCTGTGAATGGATTCCTTCCTGCACTTCCAGTGTAAAAACACAGTTCAGTGTTTAATTGAAGCTAATACAAGGTTTGACTCAAATAAAATGGCTATTTTCCAAAGTTACTGTATTTTTATAACAATATTCCCTCTTTACTATACCACCACTGAGCTCAGCAAGAAGAGTTTGTTGGGTGGAGAGGGAAAAAAGGAATTTTAAAATAAAAAGTCTGTAACATAGCTGAGACCTAGAAAGTCTCATATTAGCTTTGGTTAAACTTAAACTTTTACTCAGGGCACAGACTATCAGACTGTGGATTTTGTCCACCATCACTTACATTAGTTAGGAAATGATCTTTTATGGCTATCATGGACAAAAATGCAAATATATCTTTCTACTGACAGGAAGCCAGAGACTCTACCTGGTATGTCTGGTAGCTGATAGCCATCCCATATCTGCAGTACATGACGTAGTGTTCACAGTTGTACCACAGTAAGCTGTAAGTGACAGAGCCCAGGAGCTTCTCAGCCCTCCTGGCCACCTCGTCCCCGTCCAAAGCTGGTTGACGGCACACTTTGTCCATGTGGTTGATCAGAATCTCTGATCCATACGCAAAATCTACCACAGAGTCCACTCTGACACTGGCAACCTTGGTGATAACGCCCAGCAGCAGGCGGTTATTTGTTACCATCTTGGCAATTGCAGATTTATTCTTGGAAATCGCAGGCAGGATGTCCGGAATGAGATGAGCCACACGGTTGTCTCCCAGGTAGATACCAAAATGTGTGAATAATGTCCTGGGGACTTCTAATAAATCGCCACGCTTGTAAAGTGACAGGTCATATTTAGAGTCCTCCTTCTCTTTGGAAGCTACAAGGAAAAAGTTTAGTAGCTGGTAAAGAAACATGATGGCAGTATGCGGCAAAGTGCTTTACACCCGTTTTATTCATGTTGGAATTGGGCGGTACCAGAGTAGTTAGTAGGATTAGATATTGGTCAACGTTTCAATATGATTTTGACAGAAAAAAGGAGCTTTCTCTAATCACTTTGCTGTGCGGTTGGAAACTCAGGCCTCGTTTCTTTTGTGTATTGAGGTCAAGGGTCCTCATTAAGAAGGCTGACTTGGCAATGAGGTAATCCTCATTTAAAAGGTCACTGATATTAAGCCATCATGCCGAAATAAACAACCTTTGTTACTCGTAAACTAGATTGGAATGCAGCCCTTTCTCATTATTATTCAGCAGTTTCTCGTATATTTAGAGAAAAATACATCTTATATACTTATAAACGTGTAATGATGTGAAATGTAATATCGAATTAGTTAAATCCATCACAATATACAGTTACATTTAAAGGTCATAGGTGCAGAATTGCAGCCATATTCAAATTTATCAGACTTCTTTGATGTGTTTTGCCTTTATTACTTTAGCATTTTTTACAGTGCTATACTGCATATTTACAGGCATATTGTATTATTTTAGAGCCCTGAGTCCCTCAATTAGAAAATATATCACACAAATATCATACAAATTAAGGCTAATTTGTGGTTGTGCATGTCGTTTTAGATATATGGAGAATCACATGAGACACACAAGTAAAAATAAATTGTTTATTAAACATTTGTCATATTTACAACATTATATTAAGTGCACTATTGTAACATATGCACGATACTGCATATGTACATATTGTTGTAGACTGTATATTCAGTACAGTCATGTTGACTCAAATGTTAGCAAAAATAAATCGCTAACCGTTATTTCCCCACACAAATTATTAATTCATTTATCAACACAAAACATTAAACATTGTCTACACAATACAAAATGAAAGTATGGTTGTAAAGCAGAGTTATAAGGCATCACATGACAAGCAGGCAGTTCAAGTTCAGTTTGTTTGCAGGTTCCTTCAACCAGCCATCCACAGAGTAAAGGGAATGAAGATTATGGGTAATGTAGTTGAGGGCGCCATACCGAAATTGACAATGGAGATAATTCCAAGCAGGACTGTGACAATCACGCTGCGCTGGTCTCTGATGATTGATTTCAAGCACTCACAGAACTATAAAGGAAAGAAATACAGTTAATGATTTTACACATTGTGCTTGACACAAATAGTTTATACCATGGTTACATTTCTGATTAACTGTGACCTGGAAAGTCTCTGTTAAAATCCTATCTTTCATACCTCAAGCTCTCCTGTGAACAGTTTCACCTCAATTCTAAATCAGTGTGCAAGGTTAACCTGGAGGTAACATAGCTGTCCCATGGCCCCCGAACTTCTGGGAGCCCTAAAGATCCCACCCCCTCAATGTTGGTTGGTTTTAGCAATCTGATTTGCAGATTTGTTTAGGAATGTGCTCCACTTAACTACATGAAACGTGCCCTGCATTATCATTCCATCAGCAGAGATGGAAAGAAAAACATACATATTTTATTATGTATATTATTATTTTTTTAAATAACCTTTCACAAAGCAGATTACATATTTGATGAGGTAAATGAATAACAAGACCCGCTTTGTCAAACTTTCCACCTCATATCTTCTCACATCTTTAAAGTTTAAGTTTGTACATGTACAGTTTAGTTTAGTTCTTTGAAGGAAAAAAAATGCTAACATTTTTTGCATACCATTTTACTGCATATTGCATATAGTGTGCATATTTTTCATTTATAGTCTTATATCTTCTATTATATTTTGTTAATATTCTGATATTGTGATTCGTATTGTATTTGTACACTCTGTAGTCTTTGCACTACATTCCCCTATGCTGCTGTGTCTGACTTGAATCTCCTACAGGGGATCAATAAAGGTACATATTATCTTATCTTATCTTATTTCATAAACTTGTAGACCCCTGTTGTAAATGTTTTTGGGTTTTTTGTATATATTTTGTTTGGTGAATATTGCTAAAAAATAAAGTTGTGTTTAATCAAAATGCCCAAAACTAACTAACTAATTTGAGGTATTAGGAGTATGCCGTCTCTGTGAGTACTGTATCTAATGAAAGTGTGAACCAATGGTGTGGATGGAGACATTAATCCAATTAAGATACAAACTTTGTGAAAATGTGAAAATGAGGAACATCTTTTTCTTTGGAAAACGGCCACGGTATTAAAATGATAATACTCTGCAAGGTGTCATTCTGGAGCACACACTGTATTATGTATATCTGCGTAATGCACCAGGTTGAATCTGTATAGCCTATAATTGTGATATATGCTCTGCTCAATAACCACAAGCACACTAAGACAGACATTTCATCCTGCACGCATTCAATAAAAAGTGCTAAGGACTGTACCTGCTCTGTCTGCCGGCTCACTGCAGATCCGTATCTGCAATATGTGGCAAAGTGTTCACAGTTATTCCACAGCAGACTGTAAGGAAACGCTCCGATTAGTTTTTCAGCTCCCTTGGCGACCTCTTCGTTGGAAAGTGCGCGGTTCTTCATCATCTTATCCATAGAGTTAACCAGTATCTTGGAGCCATATGCAAAGTCCTCTAATGTGTCCACGCGCACCGTGGCACACCTGTATATGCATCCGAGGATGAGCCTCTTGTTCGTGATCACAGAACCGATGAGCTTCTTGTCGTTCGTCAGCACAGGAAGGATGTCGGGGATCAGGTGAGCGACTTTATTGTCACCTAAATAAATGCCGTAGTGGCTGAAAATGGTTCTGGGGACCTCCAGCAGGTCTCCCCTCCGGAGAGGCGTTGTGGGACCGCGCTGCGCGTAACGCTCCCGGTCGTGGTCCACACCATCCGACCAGCTGGACTCAAAAAGTTTGAATTTGGAGAGAAGGCAGAGCTTTTCCACCAGGAATGTCAACAGCTGCAGCATGGTGAGAGTTTTCGGGGGAAATATCCTAACGTGCTTGAGTGAAATGAGCTTTTTATGATCACTGGCACGAGGAGGAGGAAATCCTGAAGACACGATTGGCCACGAGTGACCGTGCACACGTGCGCATTCTCCGTCATTCATACCCTCAGCATCTTGTATTTTTTTCTGCTGCATTTTGTTCCAGCCTGAGGTTCATTGTTCTCCACTAATCACTTTTAATTGGGACTGCAGCAGAGAGAATTAGCTGTGTGGCAAGGCTCAGTGATTGTATTTGATTAATTGCAATTTAAGAGTTACATACAGTTTGAACATTATTTTCCCTTTTAACATAAAAGATAACAAAGCAAAATAAAACTGGTGTAGTGAAAATGAATCCATAATGGCACAGGTTTGAAAGAGAGTACAGTCATCTAGAAGCTGGTTCCAGCTGTGTGCAGTTGTTGTTAACTGCTGTCTCACTCCAGCTGCTGTTCCTGAAGATCAAAGGTGGTCTACAATTATATCTGATTTGGTTTTACATAAAAACTTTACTGGAAGAATGTGCAAAGATTGAACAAGTAATGTGCTCAAAGCAGTCACATTAAGAGGCTGCCACTTCACAAACCAAACACAATCATTTAGTGTCATTTAAAGCTGCACTAATCAATAGTTTTACATTAAAGAAATACTACTGTAAAAGGTGTAACCCTCCTTATCCCCCAAACTATGCAATTACCCTCAGATTAATGGAGCATTTTAGCATTTTTAAGATTTGAGACATTGATTTGGTTTTCTGGGAAGCAACTTTACTGTTTTGGTTCACTCTCACTGCTCTCATCAGCATCATAAACCCACAGTACACTGGTCAGCACCAAAATGCAGGCAGACAATGTTTGCAACTCTATCTTAGGTAAAAGTACAGATGCTGCACTATAAATACTGAAATAGATGTAAAAGAGTATTAGCAACAACATGCACTTAAAGTATCAAACATACTCCTATGTCAGTGCAATATTTTTCTCTGAAATGTACTGCTCTTGAAGTACAAAAGACTAACAATAGAAATACTGAAGTACCTAAAACTTGTACTTGAGTAAATGTATTTAGTTACTTTCCTCTCTCTTTACAAGGTCAAAGTTTAGGCTAAAAAAGTTTGGTTTCTTTGAGGTTCGTAACACACTAAAATGTTGTTAGGGGCAAAAAGAAAAATACTAAATAAATAAAATAAGAATAACAATAAAAAGGTTTTGATTTAATTTGTGTTATTCTCCAGTTTGCTGAACTGATGGTTGTCATTTTAATGTTTGTTTAGTGTTTTTTAGTTTTTAATTACCCTTTTGGCAATTTAAAATAAAATTCTAATTAGGCTATTAAGCTGATTTCCCTCCAGACAATGACTTGCAGAGGAGCTGTGGACTTAACTCGGTTAATCTGTTTTGTCCCATCATGAATCCAGGATCTGTCCTGGGAAAAAACTGACTGTGTTAGATGGTCTGCACCTTCTCAGACGAACCATATGAGACAAAACATTCCCTTGACCAGATTACCGTAATCCTGTCAGCTCCAGTTAAACACTCATCTTTTACCATGTAAATACCTTGAGAGATGTTTGAGCCTTTTTGATCTTGTGTCTTTGAATCATTTCTTACAGTCCATTTGCTGACCTAGATAATGTAGGTAGATAAAAGGGCTAAATAAATGTGTTATTTAACCAGCTGCGTTAGGCCCACAAAGCTGTGTTAGAGCCACAAAGTATACATACCTTGCAACACTACACTGCAAATGATAAGCTTACATTCATAAATTATAAGCAAAAAACAAACAATCCATGTTTGTGAAGTATGCATGCAAACAATGCAAGCGCTAAAATATTGAACAAATCACGAGTAAATGAATTAACCCAGTAATAAACAAACGCTAACTTTCGTTGAGTTTCCACACTCACACATATAATGCATTTTATACTTCTCTAGTGTTTTGGACCATTCAACGTGATGTTTTGACCAAACACACATTTTTTATCAGTTGTCAGTTTAGCTTTTGGGGTTTTTGTTGGATGATTTGGAACGTTTTAGCCACAGTGAGAGCCTATTTCATTTCTAAGCATTTACACACACTGGGTTTATATATGCGGTCTGTTGTGTCATAATCAATGGTGAGAGAAGGATTCAGAATCTAAAGCATCAGTACTTATTAAAGTACTCATTAAATAGAATAGCCACTTTTAAATTGTTATATTATGTTATGTTATGTTTATCACGTAATATTATTGGGTTGTCATTACCAGTGTTGGGCAGTGACTCATTACTTTACCTTGACTTTACCAATTTTGTGGGGCTGTACTGTTGGCTGGGATAGATAGATAAAGTCATAATATAATTTTTGAAAAGAGTAATGAGTAATGACCAATAAATTAAGTTTTTTGAGTAACTAGTCCAACACTGGTCATTACTGATGTATTATTGTGTAAGCAGCATGCTTGATTAGCTAATTTGACTATTGTGTTGGCTAGTTTTTTAGAGTAAGATATTCATATTGATATTAATCTGAAAAGTGACTAAGTGTAGCTGTCAGATAAATATAGTAGAGTGCATGTAGTTGAGAACATAGAATGGAAATATTCAAGTAAAGTACCATAAAATTGAGTAGTAAAATGGTAATAAAAGATGCCACTACAGTATCTGAAAGTCCCCTTAAAAGCAATTTAAAAAAATTATTATATTTACTAGAACGCAATGTTCATCAATGTGTGTCAGTAATCACAAACATCTACAGTATCAAACATCTGTGTGTCTCAGGGTTACAATGACATTAGCCATGGAAATTAAACATGCAGTTTTGCCTGATATACTTTGATATGATCATAATTAAACTTGACAGGTTGTTTTTGAAGCACTTTTTATTTCTCAGTGACAACACGGAAAGTACGAGTACTATATAAATCAATCAGGGCAATAAATGGCACAACGACCAGTGAGCTAAAAGAAAGAAAGAGGCAACATAAGACAAGTATTAATATAGTGGTGGTAACATGTGCCTCACATGTTCTATTACAACACAGCTGCAGGACCAAATGACACAACCTCAAACTGGGTGTAAGCAAAGTAAACATGGAAGCAGAGCAGAGTACAATAAATGTATATGGCAGTGCTATTATTAAGAGCAACATATTCACGTCAACTCAGTGGCTTAGTAACACAATCAGTCAAAACTGTCATATTTTTCTTGTAAGAAAATGTTCTTATTATATTAAAGTCATTCATGGTGGGTCAACCTCACTGCACGTTTTTGCAGATTCAGCTGAGTCGACTTACCGTCTGTGACCGCAGGCATTATAACAAACCTTTGCCCTCTGTCCTGGGGAGATTTATGTCACGGCTCCAGACTTATAGTTGTGGCCAATGGGGGACCCTTACAATGCTCTTTAAATTTAATTCCTGGTCAGGCCACTTGTAAACTATGCTAACTTTGTTTTTCAGCCTTAAAATGTAAGTTGATTACTGCTGAACAGATTTCCTATGTTTTCAGGAAAAACGATGATTCAGCAAAATAGTATGGCTTTATTTACAGGGTAAACATGTGAGAACTTCAGCTGCCAGCTTTAATACTAATGCAAACAAATAACTTTGCATTTCTTTTATAGTGCTTTACATCCTGATATAGTACAGACAATCTAAGAATGTCAGCCTGGCATCAGTGTCTGAATACACCAATAACAACAACAGCCCAAAACACATCTTAACCCCCTAGACACGATGTTTGGAGCGAGTGCCCATGTCTTTATGGCACTTAGAGAAAGAAAGAGACACTTTCCATCTGGCGTTTCGACACAAAGAGGCCGGTTCAGCACAAGTTCAGCACTGTTTAGGTTCATGGGCCTGGCAGTTCATTCTCAGGTCAGCAAGGCTTTATATCCTCCCTGGGCCTGTTTTTTCCACGTAATAAAACGAGGTCACACAGAGAGGTAGTTAAAGTAAGATTTATCATCTAATGTCAACATGGTGTGCACATGAAGCCTTATTCAGCTTTATTTGTCACATGTATCTGCACTGTTTGTTTTGATGTAATAAAAAGAGGTGCGTTTGCCTGGAGCACCCTGAAGAACATCCACTGGCTAACCATTATCAGCAACTATACAGTATACACAATATTTGTGATAAGACCAGCGTAAAGTGGCCTTGAACAGTATGGAATTGACTGCAAACATTCCTCAGTCAAAAAAGAAAATAGTTGCACTTTACTTTTCAGTATCACCATAATTCAGCTTAACCCAGCAGTGCTAAAGAATGTATATAGTTTATGATGTTGAAACAATAGATTTATTAACCCACTTACATTTTAACCTTAAAATCCACAGCAGATGAACATTTCCATTATGAATGTGGACTTCTTGTTAAAAAGAAAAAGATGCCTCAAACTCATCTGTCACCAGAGAAGTGTATTGTTTTAAGTTTTTTTTTTTGGCCTTTTTATTGCCTTTATTTGATAGGGACAGCCGAATATAGACAGGAAAGAGAGAGAGAGGGTAGAGAGTGGGGATGACACGTAGCAAAGGGCTGCAGGTTTTTTCGAACCCTGGGCTGCTGCAGCAAGGACTCAGCCTCAGTACATGAGTCGCCAGCTCTACCGACTGAGCTAACAGGGCGCCTGAGAAGCGATGTATTACCATTAACTGTGACTCAAAGAAGCACAGCACCATGAAACCAGAGCCCTGTAGGAAGCTACGTGTGCCTGATACAAGAGGTTCTTGTCCATTTTTACTCTTCTTGTAAAAATGGATGTGAAATGGGAAATGGAAACGTGATAAATTTAACAGTATGTGCAATTTATGGTTCTCTGTAAGTAAAACCATCAACAGCACAGTGTTCCCTCAAATCATGCTTAATTGTGACTTAACCTTTTGACTGCCTGACCTTGAATAAATAATTAGCCAGGATTTTAGAGGTAATGAGGGCGAGTATTAGGCAAGGTTTTTACTGACCACTGTTGCTCTATGCATGTAGGATGCAGCTGGTTTTCGG